GGCTTTCAGGTGTGGGGCACAGCCCCTGCAAAGGCCCTGGGGCAGGACCGGGCCTGGCATGTGGGAGGAACAGCAAGGAGCCCGTGTGGCTGGAGCAGAGGGAGCGAGGGAGGAGGGAGGGTGGGGAGGGGTCGGGGCAGGTTGTGCAGGGCCTGGGGGTGCGCAGGGAGGACGTGGGCTCTCCCCCGAGGGAGGGGAAGCCCTGGAGGGCTGTGGGCAGAGGAGGGAGGACCTGACTCGGGGGCTCACAGGTGCCCTCTGGTGGGGGCTGCGGGGAGGACAGACTGTGGGGACCAGGGCGGAGGGGACTGCGCTGGTCCAGGCGGGAGATGCTGGGGGCCGACCAGGGAATGGACAGGAAGGGATGGGAATTCTGGGTAAATTTGCAGGCAGAGCCCCCAGGACTCGCTGGCCTTGACCTCGAGAGTGAGGGAACGAGGCTGGGGACGGGGTGTCGCAGGGCGTCGGGGGAGGAGGAGGGGGCACCGCTGGGGGGGACATCGGCTGTCACTCAGTAGACCAGTTTGCTCTGTGTGCCCGGCCCCGTTCCAGTGACAGTCCTGACAGTTTTTTGTTTTATTGTTGTTTTGGAACTTTCCGGCAGACCCTAAAATTTATACTGAAGGCTCAGGGGTCAGGAGTAGCCGAGACACCCCCGCCGAAGAAGTGCCAGGTGGGGGAAATGTTCCAGAAGGAAATTGGAACCTATGATAATGTTATAGTAACTAGGCGGCGTGGTCGCCGGGAAGATGGTCCAGGGATGCAGGAGGATGGGAGCAGATGAGGTAGGGTGGCCTTGTGGGAATCTCCGGCTCTGCCTCAGTTTCCCCGTCTGTGCGATGGGAGTGTGTGCCCAGAGTTGAGTGAGTTGGGGGTCAGGCAGAGGCTGTGCCCCAGCGTGAGGCGCCCTGGGTAGGGGCTGGGCTTCATCGTGTTATAACTGCCCCCACTCCCAGACACGCGGGCGCACGGGGGCCCTGCTCGCCGTGGGGTGCACGCGCCGGCCCCGGGTGGCGGCTCCCGGTGACCAGGTGCCGGGGCAGGTGGTGGGGCTGCTTCCGGGGCGGGCGGGCGCCGGGCGGCTGCTGGCAGAGGCGCCTCGGGTTTCACGGAGAGCAGCAGATGGTCCAGGAGGGGGTGGGGGAGGGGCTGAGGTCTGTGGTAACCCCAGGTCAGGGGGGTAAACTGAGGCCAGGGGCAGTGGGTCAGCCCCAAAGCAGCCCACACCCCCCCAAAAAAAGAGCACGTGGGGTTCAGTTCTGCATTATCATCACAATAACCAATAACTAATGCCTCAGTTTCCCCATCTGTATAAGGGGCCTATTAACAGCCCCCACCTCTCGGGTGTGTTTCTGCAGATTAAATGAGTTAAGTTCTTACAACAATGCCAGGCACATAGCAAGTGCCTGGTGTTTGCTGTTTTTATTATTTATTGAGCGCCTACTGTATGCTGGGTGATGGGGACACAGTGGTGCCCGGGACAGACCCAGTCCTGCCCTCTCAGGGGCTCACAGTCCAGTGGGGAACACAGACAGTTAACCAGGCAGTTAGAAGATAGGGTGATCAGGGTGCTGAGGGGGGACGCACAGGCAGAGGGGAGCCCCAAGGAAGCTGATCTGGGAAGGCTTCCTGGAGGAGGTGTCTGAAACCTCAGAGTTGACCAGGTTACTGGGAGCAGGAGGAAGGTGTTCCAGCCAGAGGGAACAGCATGTGCAGATGCCCAGAGGCAGAGAAGGAAGTGGGGGAGGAGCTGGGGCTTCATTTCGAGGGCACTGGGGAGCCATAGAAGGGTTTAGAGCACAGGTTCTCAGCTGGGGGTGGTTTTGCCCCCCGGTGGACACAGGGCGATGTCGGGACATCTATGGTGGTCATGATTTGGGGGTGCTCCTTGCATCAAGTGGCGTGCTGCTCAGCCCCCCACAGCACCCAGGATGGCCCCCCACAGAGAGTGACCCGGCCCCGATGTCTGCAGTGCCGAGGGGAGGACACTGGTTTAGAGCAGAGGAGAAGCAGAGAAGATCTGAGTTCTAGAAAGATTCCTTCGCCATGAGGAGGGTATGGAAGGGGGAGGCCTGAGGCCTGGGGACCAGGTGGCAGGTGGGAGCCAGGCAATGGGGTGCTCAGAGCAGAGGTGACAGAGGGCCACAGAGGGGACTGGGGGGGAGGGGGGGACACTCCGGTCTCCGGCTCAGGGACGATGGGGCCATCGCTAAGTCAAGGATCTGGTAGGAGAAGGGGGTTTGGGGCAAGAAAAGGCCAGTTGGGGTCCAGGGGTCCTCGGGCGGATGTGTGGGGCTGGAGGCAGCTGTGGTCCGAGGGAGGACATGAACCCCACTCTGAACCCCAAGTGGCTGCCTTGCAAAGTTAAGAAAACCAGGAGAAAAGCTTTGCCATGGGGTCCCATCGCGTCCTGGGCCTCAGTCTGCCCGTCTGTGAACTGGGTGTCAAATGGCTGCGGGCCTCACTGGGCTGAGAGCCGGGCGAACGGGCTGGGTGCTTGTTAATCTTGTTACGACCATCAGTACCTAGCACCTAGCAGCAAGATCCTGGAGCCGGGGAGCCCTGGGGTCGGTCCTCTCTGGTGGGGCCACGGCCCCCGAATCGGCCCCTCCGTTTCCCCATCTGCAGAATGGGCTCAGTGTTGCACCCCGCATTGGGGGGTTTCGTGAGCTAATTCCTGGAAGCCAGGCGGCCCAGCTTCTGGTGCTTAATATGACACCAACACCAACAGCAATAATAATAATAAGCATTTATTGAGCACCTACTGTGTGCCAGAAACCATGCCGCTACCCCACCACGGGCCTCTGAGGCCAGTAGGTTACCATGCCCGTTTTACAGATGAGGAAACTGAGGCTCAGAGAAGGGGGTGAACTGTCCGGGGTCACGTGGCATGTAAATGGCAGAGGTGGGATTTGAACCCTCGCTGCCCGGCTCTGGAGCCCCGCCCCCGATGCTGGAGGGCCGGTAAACGGGAGCTGTTGTTTCGAAGTTTCTTAAGTTAAATGTGATTCTGATAAAACGTGGGAAAGGCACAGCGCACCAGCTCTCAGCCATCGGGATGGCCACTAGCAAACAGAAAATAACAAGTGCGGCGAGGATGTGGAGAAGTGGGACCCTTGAGCACGGCTGGTGGGGATGGACAATGGAGCAGCCGCTGTGGAAAATGGCATGGCGGTTCCTCAGGAGTTAAACAGAATTACCATGTGACCCAGCCATCCCACTTCTGGGTATAGACCCCAACGAACTGAAAGCAGGGTCCCGAAGGGATGTTTGCACACCCGTGTTCACAGCAGCGTGAGTCACAGCAGCCAGAAGGTGGAAGCAATGCAGTGTCCGTGCACGGATGAGGGATAAACACGATGTGTCCATCCACACGCTGGAATGTTACGCAGCCTTGAAAAGGAAGGCGATTCTGACACCTGCTCCAACGTGGATGGACCTGGAGGACATGATGCTCAGTGACGTGAGCCAGACACAGAAGGACAGACACTGTGTGATCCCCTCACAGGAGGCCCCTAGAGGAGTCACATCCACAGAGACAGAAAGTAGATGGTGGGGCCAGGGGCTGGGGGAGGGGACGGGGAGTCAGTGTTTCATGGGGACAGAGTCTCAGTTTGGGGAGATGAGAAAGTTCTGGAGACGGATGGTGGGGATGGTTGCACGACAGTGTGAATGTGCTTCATGCCTCTGAGCTGTGCCCTTAAAATGGTTAAGATGGCAAATTGTATGTTATATGTATTTTACCACAATGTTAAAAAATAAATAAAAAGGAGCAGACAGAGCCCCCGAGAGGCCCGGATGCCCGGGCAGGTGTTGTGCGAGAGGCTGAAGGGTGGGGTGGGCAGCCGCGGGGCCGGTGGTCAGGCTGGGGGCCTTGCAGCCGGGCAGCGGCCGGCCTGGCTCAGGGGTGCTGGGGAGCCACGGGAGGCTGCGGAGCGGGGGAGGAGCCAGGGCAGGAAACTCGAGGAGGCGGAGCCGTGGCCGCGCACACGTGGGATCCAGGCGGCCGCTGAGTCACAAATCCTGGAAGTTCAGGGTCACGGAGAGGAAGTTCGGCAGGTCCACGCAAGGCCTTCCTGTTTTCAGTCCTGGATCCTTGGAGGCAGGCGCTCCGGGGCCAAAGTTCCCTCACCGTCGTCTCCACGGGTCGGCATCCCCGAGCCCCAGGCCAGGGCAGCCTCGGAGATGTCCCTGCTGCTCAGACGGGGAAACTGAGGCATGGGGCTCACCCAAGACTTCCCAGAAGGACGAGGCTGACGGGTTCTTATTCGGGACCTCCGGACTGCACCCCTTCTGGAAGGGGCATGGAGGACGAGGTCCCAGCGGGTGAGTTCTGCTCACACTTCACTGACCCGAGCCACACACCTGGAAGGTTCTTGAGATTCCTTGAAGAATGGGAACGGGAAGCAGGCGCCCTCGGCAGGTAGTGAGACTCCCGTCACAGCGGTATTCTAGCAGATGCCCGAAAGTCTGGACTCCGGAAGGCCGTCAGACTTCCCGGGGGCCTCTGAGGCCCCTGGCCAGCTGGAATATTCTGCCATTCTTAGGTCCTGCACTTCCAGATTGTGGTTTAGAAAATTCCAAGAGCCTTTGAATTTTTTTTTTCCCGAGCCTTTCATTTTAAGATTTTCGTGTTTTAATTGTAAGGCCTCTTAATGCACGTTTTAAGATTGAATTTTTAAATATATTTTCGAAATGCTGTCTCTCTTATCATGATTACATTTTAATGATTTAAAACCAAGTTTCAAGTTATTTAAATACTCTCGTTATTATTGATATTTTGTTAGAAACCGTTTCCTGAGCTGTCACTAAAAGGCGATCAGAAAGTGGTTCTGATAATAAAATAAGTGCTGGTATTATTATTGTTCTTGCCGTGATGGTTGTTTTTTTTTAAATTATGGTCTCAATGGGGAGTTTTTTGGGAAGTGAAAGGCCAGGCGGCCGCGGCTCGCGAGCGCCACCTGCCGCACGCAGGTGTCACCGCCCCGCCCTCGCCCGCAGGTGCCACCTCCGGTCGCCCCGCCCTCGCCATGTGGAGCCCCCGAGCGCCCCCTCCCCGCCCGGCCCTGCTGCTGCTGCTGCTGCTGGGGGGCGCCCACGGCCTCTTCCCCGAGGAGCCGCCGCCGCTGAGCGTGGCCCCCAGGGACTGTGAGTGGGGGTCCCCGGGGAGGGGGCGTCCCTAGGGAGGGTCCTGCTCCCCAGCTATGCCTCCCCCGGGGCTCGCCTATCCCGGCCCTGGGTCACACCCGTCCCCACCCCTCCCCAGACCTGAACCACTACCCCGTGTTCGTGGGCAGCGGGCCGGGCCGCCTGACCCCCGCCGAGGGCCCTGAGGACCTCAACATCCAGCGCGTCCTGCGGGTCAACAGGACGCTGTTCATCGGCGACAGGTATGGGGGACCGTCGGGCGGGGTGCGGGGAGCAGGCGGGAGCCTTTTTGGGGGGTTTGCATGGTGGGTCTGTTGTTTGGCTGGAGTGTGACTGTGTGTCCCTGGGTGGGAGTTTTATGGGTGCTTGACGCTGCGTGGGGTGGAGCCCGCAGCCTGTGATGGAGTGTTAGCAGGTGGGCATGGCTGTTTAGTCAGAACTCACTGGGTGCCTACAGAGGGCGCTGAAGTGGCGCCCCAGGGCCTCTCTGAGGAGGGGACATTTGAGTCGAGAACTGAATGATGAGGAGCCAGCCATGGGGAAATCTGAGGGAGGGCACAGCCCATGCAAAGGCCCTGGGGCAGGACTGGACCTGGCGTATTGGAGGAACAGGGAGGAGGCCCATGTGGCTGGAGCAGAGGGAGGAGGGAGGGCAGGGAGGGGACGGGGCAGGTCGTGCGGGGCCTGGGGGGCCTCGGGAAGGACGTGGGCTTCTCCCCTGAGGGAGGTGGGAGCCCTGGAGGGCTGTGGGCAGAGGAGGGGGGACTTGACTCAGGTGCTCCTGGGTGCCCTCTGGTGGCTGCTTTGGGGAGGACAGACTATGGGGGGCGAAGGTGGGAGCCGGGCATCAGGGCGGAGGGGCCTGCGCTGGTCCAGGTGGGCAGTAACGGGGGCTGGACCAGGGTGGTGGCCGTGGAGGGCACAGATGGGGTTCGAGCCCTGAGAGGGGACAAGGCCACCCGGGAGGGATGCCGGTGGGGGAGGGAAGAGGCCCGAGGACCCAGCCCTGGGCCCAGGAGGGGGAGAGGGGGAGACGGAGCCAGAGAGGTGGGAGGGAAGCCCGGCAAGTGCTGGGCCCGGGAGCCGCGTGTGGACGGAGTTCCCAGCAGGATGGTGGACTGGCCATGTCAGACACCGCGGAGGGGGGAGGACAGAGAAGTGACCGCTGGACTTAACAACACGAGGTGGCCAGTGACCTGGAGCAGGGCAGTTTCTGCGGCCTGCGGGGACTGAGAGGTGCTGAGGGGGCACGTGATGTAAAGGCACTGGTAGTTCATCGTGCTGGGTGTAGACCCGAGGCCGCAGTGTGAGCCCGAGGTGGCGCGTTAAGCTTAGCCCATGGGGTGTGCTAGAACCTGTGGGTCATTTTAGGGCACGAGGAGGCGTGTTAGGGCGTGCACGAGCATGTGCAGTGTGGGACACCACGGCTGCCACCAGGAGCATGGAACGTGGGGGGGTAGGCCCCCCAATCTCACTATACACCCCTCCCCCAGGGACAACCTGTACCGGGTGGAGCTGGAGCCCCCCACGTCCTCGGAGCTGCGGTACCAGCGGGTGAGGACGGGGTGCAGGGGGGGGAAGGGGCAGCGCTTGGGGCTCCCACCAGGGGGACCTGACACTGTGCTGGGGAGCAAGGTGGCTTCTGGCCTGCCCGGCGGGGGTTCCCAGGGCTGTCGGGGACCCCGCTCCCCTCACCAGCTCCCTATGCCCCCAGAAGCTGACCTGGCGCTCCAACCCCAGCGACATCAACGTGTGTCGGATGAAGGGCAAGCAGGAGGTGAGTGGGTCCTGGCCACGCCCCAAAACGCATTGGCCACGCCTCCAGCCACGCCCAATCCGCCCTGGCCACGCCCAGCGCAAATTCTCCTCGGTTCCTTTCTAGGCTGTGGCCCTGGTGTTGCCATGGCTATGCTCAGAGCCTGGCCACGCCCCCCAAGTGGTCCTTAGTATGGCCACGCCCATAGTGCTGGTCTTCCCATAGCTCCACCCCTTCAACGGCTGCTGATACACAGTACTTCCCTGTCTTGGCCCCTCCCTGAGTTGTGGCCACGCCCCTAGCCCAATTTTATTTGAGCTCCTGCTGTGGCCACGCCCCTGATGTGGTTCCCAGTCCTGGCCACGCCCACATCCCTGGCCCCTCCCGTCAAGGCCTCGCGTCTGCCCTGGCTCCGCCCCCTCCCTCGCCACAGCCTATCACGGCCACAGCATTGGCCACGCCCACGCAGTGACCACGCCCACCGTGGCTTCCCTCTCTCCGGCCCACTCCAGGGCGAGTGTCGGAACTTCGTGAAGGTGCTGCTACTCCGGGACGAATCCACGCTCTTCGTGTGCGGATCCAACGCTTTCAACCCCGTGTGTGCCAACTACAGCGTGAGTCTCCGCCCCGCGGCGCCCTGCCCGCCCCAGGTCCCACCCCCAACCTTTGCTCACCTGCCGAGACTGGCCACCCTTTCCTCGGGCCTCATCACCTCCTACAGGAAGCCTTCCCGGATATGCCCTCCCTGCCCCCTCACCCGGAGCTCACGAGGAGGCTCCCACAGGAGGCCTGTTCGGGAGTCCTGGAAACCATAGCTACTTAACTAGGATTGACTCGCAGACCCATTTCCAGATCAACAAACTGAGCCCAGAGAGGTTGAGTGACTGAGCAAGTCACACAGCACCCAGGGTGGAGCCAGGATTCCCCTTGGAGTGGGAGTTGGGGGGGGCGGGGGGCTGCCACGCGCGGCCAGGAGCTCTGTCACTCAGACCCTGTTCCTCTGCAGATGGACACGCTGCAGCCTCTCGGGGACAACATCAGTGGCATGGCCCGCTGCCCCTACGACCCCAAACACGCCAACGTCGCCCTCTTCTCTGGTGAGTGTCCCCCAGCTGTGACCATCTGGTGGGGCCCCAGCCCCAAGCAAGGCGTGGTGGCGTTTTCCACTCTTGGAGTTGGGGTTGTTTAGAAGGCGGTGGGGAGAGACCACCTGTCGACTGTGACCATGGTCGGGGTCAGCCAGGGTCGGGGCTCCGCAGGGTCGGGGCTCAGCCTGGGGTCACTCTGGGGTCAGAGCTTAGACACGCTTCCCTTGGGCTTAGAAGATTGAGTTTTGAGCCCCCCAGCCCCTGGCATTTATGATCTCATCTCTCACCTGTCTCCCCCTGACTCACCCCCATCCAGAAGGGATGCTCTTCACGGCCACTGTCACCGACTTCCTAGCCATCGACGCTGTCATCTACCGCAGCCTCGGGGACCGGCCCACTCTGCGCACCGTGAAACACGACTCCAAGTGGTTCAAAGGTGGGCTGGGCATTCATCAAATCCCCCCACCAGAATAACAGTCTCCAAGGAGTGAGGGAGGGGACTCCCATCTCATCTTTGGAACCTACTGGCCTCTTTGAAGATAAAGCTAGAGGAAAGATTTAAGTCGGATCTAAAGTAGAACTTGCTGGAAATGGGTGGCTTAGAAGCCCGAAATGGAACTACAAGAGGGGTACAGCAGGAGCTCAGCTCTTCAGCACATAAGGGAGGAGGTGACAAAAATAGTAGATGGCGCACTTTGTGAAGGGTAGACATGGTGATTTTAGGCCTCTGACATGCCCCTGCCCCCGGCAAAAAAAAAAACTTTGAGTCTATTTTGTTTTGCCTGGGTAATCAGCTGATGTCCCCCCTTCAAAATAAAAGCAGCCACCCAGGCTGATGTGTTCCCTGCCCCAGTAACTCCCTTTCTCATGTCAGGGGCTGGGTTCTGACCTCCTCTCCCGTCTCCTACAGAGCCCTACTTTGTTCACGCGGTGGAGTGGGGCAGCCACATCTACTTTTTCTTCCGGGAGATCGCGATGGAGTTTAACTACCTGGAGAAGGTAAGGCCGCACTCCGCCCCCCGACCCCTGAGAGAGGCTGGTGTAGTGGGGCACGGAGCTGAGAGGCTCTAGCATGGGAAGTGGCGAGCAGAGGTGGATCCATGAGTCTCCAGCTGGGTGTCAGGGTCCTGCCCTCCACCCTGGTCCTCGAGGCTCTCCGCTCCGGCCAGGCCCAGGCCCCCGGGGCTGGAGGCATTTGTGGAGCAACCTGGGTGCACAGCCCTGGGTGAGGCTCGCGGGTCTGACGTCAGATTCACCCCTGGATCCAGTCCTGGCGCTGTGTACCCGCCCACCACCATGCATTTCTCCATCCCTCATCCAGTGTCCATCCGTCTGTCCACTCGCCCTGCTACTCGGCCACCCTCTCACTTACCCATCTCTCTGGTCCTCAGCTCACCCACACTCCCACGGACTCATTTACCCATCTGCCCTTCTGCCCACCCACCAACTCAGCCAGCCTACATCCATCCATCCATCCGCTCATCCACCGCTCCACGCACCTCTGTATCTCTCCACCCACCTCCCGCTCATTCCCTCCTTCATCCATCTCCCCGTCCACCTGTCCATTCATTCACTCACCTGACCAGCCACTGATCTGCCCTCCTGCTCTCAACTCATCCCTCCGCCATCCATCTCCCCATCCCCCTGTCCCCCCTTCTGTGTATCCACTTATCCAGCCTCCCATCTCCTCCTCATAACCTGCTCATCCATTCTGTCCAAGCCTCTGTCCACCCACGTGTCCGCTCATCCAGCCACCCATGGATCCGCCCATCCACTGCTCTGTCATCATCTCCTTCATCATCTGCCCGCCCATCCATCCATTCATCATCCATCCATCCATTCATCTGTCCATCATCCATCCATCCACATATCCATCCATTCATCCACCCACCCACCCA